GGTTAGACAAATCCTCAAGAGGCCACACCACTGGATAGAGTTTCTAAGGGCTTATGATAGTGTCTGTATTTTTTTAATTTTGGGACTAGTGTGAAGACTGGTGCTTGGTGGCCTCAGGCGCATGTTTTATTACTGTTGAGGGGTCCTATTTTTGCTCTTCCCTAGGGGATGGTGGAGGGTCAGCCCAGAGGCTGTACACTGAGAAGTGGGTAAAGTTGTACCACTTTGTGTCAGCTCATCCTGGTTACCCAGATCTCGCAAGATCCTCCTGTAGTATGGGTTCTTTCAACTGTACAAGCAGTCCTCTGAAGGAATACCTATAGGTTTGTTCCAGTGGCTGTTACTCCAGGAGACAGATGGCTAAGCTCCTTTTTATCATTTCATCCTCACTAGATTTGTTTAGTGCTGGAATAGATACAGATGCAGTTTTCCATTGCTGGTTAGCAAGTTATTTATGATTCACTTAGGCCACTGCGGGAACACAGTCAGCTTGCCAAATCTCAGATCCCTTCATGGGAATGGAGATGACTTATATAAGTCAAACTAAAATGTACTGCAACTCTTTATTCTGCTGTAATTTACATATTCCCATAATTCACACCTTTTCAAGTTTCATTAGAGTTCCCATGTAGTTATTAAAGTTTTTCTGAGTTTTGACTGAATTTCCAAAAACATTTTCTTCTTTCTCAGAAATGTTTAGTATATCTTGACCTTCCATTATGGAGCTACCTATGGAGAACAGAAGTCCCTATTTAAAAAAAATGCTAAGTATATTTCTTAGAGGTGCTTAGATCCATTATTACAAGTCCTTCAGAAGTTTCTATAGAAGGTATTATTAATTGCTTAGCGGGCTGATGCCTAAATGAGAGAGTAACCATGATAATCTGCCTTGTGAAAAACTTGGATTGCTTGATAGAGTTTGTCATGATCTTACTAAGACCCAGTAATATTTTTAATATTGTTGGCTGGTGGTGTTGAAATGCAATAAACATTTTATTAGCAAGTATATTAATCCTCAGCTACTGACAACACTTTTCCCTGCTCCCTAAGGAAAAGCTAATAGAGTGTGTGTGTCAGTGGAACCAAGCCCAACCAAGTGGTCTTTTCTGGAAACTTACATGTTCCTCATTAATTGATTAAGGTGGATCACCCATTACATGGCAATAAAGGAAGACCAAGGTAAGAAAGTCTTACTCTAAGAAGTAAAATCTTAAAAGTCAGAAACTGTGAGACATAGCCTTTGATTAATGGCCCATATTTGGTAGATTAATGGCAGATATTTGTTGGTTTTATATTGCTTTTAGTAAATAGGAAGAGGTAGGACAGATCAGACACTATGGATTATGTTACACTACCGTGCTACCTACTTCTCTAGTTAGCTATGTCTGTATCCTATGCAAACTTCAAGTATATTCCATGGATTTCTGGCATCACTACTACCCAAGAGCTTTTTAGAAATGTTCATTTTCTAGTTCCTTCCCAGGCCTAATGGACTTATCATAGCTGGAGTTTGGCTCTAGGAATCTGTATTTTAATAAGCTGCCCATGTGATTCTTATGCACATTAAAGTTTGAGAAGCAGTGTTCTAGTACACTGCTATCCTAGATAATTTTGTTTCTTAAGAGGTGACCTGATGGGCCGGGGAGATAGCTCAGTAGATTAAGCACCTGCCTGGCAAATGCAGGGTCCTGAGTTCAATCCCCGGTACTACAAGGAAAAAAAAAAAAAAGAAAAAAAGGAAAGAAAAAAAGGTGATCTGCTAAAAAATGGTTCCAGTTTGGTCAAATGATTTGGATAATGGTGGGTTAAATAAAGTTAGGCTGTTTTGTTGGGGAAAGTTCTACTGGATTTCGTAGAAGTTTTTAATAGGTGGCTGTACTGCTCAAAATCATCCATTGAATTCTCAGCATACGAAAAGTAGCATCTACACTTTTATTGTACCTTATGAGGCCCTGCATAATTTGACTTCATTAGCTCTGATCTCATCTGTCTTTGTTGTTCTTGCTTACTACATGTAGCTACACTGGTCTCTAAGCCAAGCATAATCTGACTCCTAAGACCTGGAATCTCAGATGTCTGCTCAGATGTAACTTCTTTGGAGAGGCTTTCATATGTCTTCATGTGCTACCTCACTCTTGTCTCTTATTTTTCCTAATGATACTTCTCTGATATTTATTATATTACCATTTGTTCATAGGTTTATTATTTGTCTCCCACATTAGATGTAGGCTGGATGAGGAGCTATGGATTCTTCAGTCTCTGAAGTAATGCATGGTACTCAGTAGACTGCTTGATAATATTTACTGATGAATAGATATACGAATGGAGAAAGAAGATGAAGGCTAATAGATTTTACCTAAATTCTAGAGTGGAAAGTAACAGTAGTGGATGGAAAAGTGTGCAAGTCCTACAGAAAGCACGATGGAGAGCATCCTTTCATGTCTAGGACCTATAGATAGGGTGTTGTATATCAGGTTGCTACAGTGTCATTGAGTGTTCCCATCAAGACCATCAAAGAATGGGAAAATAAACTTTGTATATTTTTTTCTAGTAATCGTGGTGCAACAGTGAGTGTTTTGTACAGGATACAATATTGGATAGCTCTCCAGTGATAATGTTTTCTGTAGTTCTTATTTTTCAGACATATATCCCATAGAAGTCATTCACTTTCATGGCTTCAGATATTATTAGTAGATACTGGTTACATTTCTTTTTAGTACCCAGTTTTCTGTCCTGCATTTCTATCACTAATGTGACATGCCCACCTGGCTGTTGACTTAACACTTTCAAACTTAACAACATATCCAAAGCTAAAAACATCAGTTTATTCTCAAACCATATTGCTGATTTTTATATTTTTGATAAAGGAAGAGATAACCTTATAATCATTGATGCTAAAAAAAATAAGAGTAGTCTCACACTTCTCCTTTCCTCATTGAAACAGTTGTCTACTCTTGTTGATTATTTCCATTATCTGTATTTCTCTTTCCTTCCCTCCCTTCTTTTCTTCTCTTCTTCTTCTTCTTCTTCTTCTTCTTCTTCTTCTTCTTCTTCTTCTTCTTCTTCTTCTT